TTTTTTTTTTTTTTTTTTTTTTTTTTTGGTACCAGGGATCGAACTCAGCTCCCTGTGCTTGCAAGGCAGGCGGAGGAACCACTGAGCTAAATCCCAGGCCCCGCAAACCCTTATTCTTAAAGGGTACAGAAGGGCTGGTCCCTCTGCTTATAACTGCTTCAGGCTGGGGAAGGGTGTTCATCCTGCCTCGTTAGGGTTTAAAAGTCTCACCCTAAAGGCCAGGAATTTAGCTCAGTGGCACCCATCAACCTCTCAAGTGCAAGGTTCTAAGTTCAATCCCCGGTACCAGAAAAAAAGGTCTCACCCTGATTGATCTAAAGGAGACAAAGGAAGATGGACTTTTGGGGGAGGTAGGGATCAAACTCGGGTCCTTGCACTTGCGAGGCAGGCAGCTGAACCACTGAGCTAAATCCCCGGCCCCGAAGATGGACTTATTTCATTTTAAAATTTTATTAGTATGTATTACAGTACATGATTTATGACCATCCCAGGGAGTAGGCACATGTGCACAGCACAGGATGAACCATCACTTTGACAGTCAAGCTGTGGTCCCAAAGCTTCCTTTGCTCTCAATATATGGTCCAGCCCGGACTTGAACTTGCTTATGCAGCCAAGCTGGGTTCCCTGGAGTGGAAGTTGCCCTGTCTCTGATTTGCACTGTCTGGAGTACTGGACTAGGTTTCTATCCAGCCTGGTGTTCTCACTGGGGGGACTCCACAGCCCACCCAGGGCCACGCAGGAGGCTTGGAGAACTTTGGGGCGTCACCGCTGGGAAGAGGGTGCCCGGCATCAAAGAGCAGAAACTCGGGGAGCTGCCATCATCCCAGGGGCACAGGGCTGTCAGACCCCAGAGATCACGGGTGAGGTGGGTGAGAAAAGCCCGCTGGCACTCTCTGCAGGACAAGAGCTGCTGCGGTATGGCGTGGCTGCAAGCCACAGACCCTCAGAATCCAAGATCACCTCTCCAGCTGAAAGTGAGGCCGGGGTCCTCGAGCCCTGGCTCCCCCTGACCTGCGTCCCTCTCTCTGGCAGAGGCTGACGCTTGTGCTTGCCCTGGCCACCCTGATCGCCGCCTTCGGTTCGTCCTTCCAGTATGGGTACAATGTGTCCGCCGTCAACTCGCCTTCAGAGGTAGGTCTGACCCAGGCAGGGGACGGGGCCCCTGGCACAGGCCGTTGGTCCCCAGTCCCTGGCCCCCAGCCCCCAGCCTCTGCCTCCCACAGGGGACAGGCAGGAGCCAGGCCCCACTCCCCGCGAGGAGGCGCTGCCCAGAGTCTTACCTTTCGCCCCAGGACTCGCTGCCCTGGACCCTGTGTCCCAGCCCTTCCTCTTCCTAAGCTGCAGTCTGTGCGCCCAGGACCCCACCCACCCACATGGGCTTCCCACCGACTGCCATTGTTATTTCTGCAAAACCGGACACACCGACTGGGGCCTGTGCTCTCTGTCCGCAGTTCATGAAGCAGTTTTACAATGAGACCCAATACAGCCGCACCGGGGAGCCCATGGGCTCCTTCACCCTGACCTTGCTCTGGTCTGTGACGGTATCCATGTTCCCGTTCGGGGGCTTCATCGGGTCCCTCCTGGTCGGCCCCTTGGTGAATACATTCGGCAGGTAAGGGAGGGGATTTTTACTCTGGAATTTGTAGACCCCATCATCAAGTTTCTTTTGTTTGTTGGTTGAGGTTTTCATTTGTTTTGCAGTCCTGGGGGTTGAACCTAAGGACCTCACACATGCTAAGCAAGCACTGTACCCCTAAGCTACGCCCCCAGCCCTTTTTGCTTGTTTTTTAATTCTTATTTTGAGACAGAGTCTCGATACACTACTGCTCAGGCTGGCCTCTGGCTTGCGATCCTCCCACCTCGGCCTCCTGAGTACTGGAGTTACAGGTGTGTGCTGCTGCGTGGTCAGTTTATAAGCGTAGCCCTAAACCTGCAACCCTTAACATGATATGAGGGTAACAGCCACCCTGGTATTTTGCACTTTCTGTTGTTATCTTTAAAAGAAGACCAGACATTGACAGCATTTGGGGAACTGGGCCAGGTCTTGAAGGTGGCTGGGACCCCTGTCTCCCAGGGACACAGGAGGAGCAGTGGGTGCTGATGAGACCTGGGACTCAGCCATGAAGAGGCATCTTCCCAAGCACAAATCTAGGCCTCTTTGCTCCTAAGGGCATGGCCAGGGCACAGGACACAGCCCAGGTCGTGGCCGAGCGCCCCTGAACGCTTGTCACGACCTGACACAAAGGTCGCCCCCTGCCCTGTGTCACCTGGGACCAAGAAATGTGCAGTTTAGTCCCAGCTGAACCCCAGCAAGTCCTGGTGTGAGACTCTGTGGTTCCGAGTTGACCCCCTCACTGTGACCTGTGAAGCCAGGCTCAGGACAATGTCCTTGCTGCTATCTCTGGAAATGTTAGAGACTTATAGGGTGTGGTGGGCACCTGTCATCCCAGCACTCTGGGAAGCTGAGGCAGGAGAATTTCAAGTTTGATGCTGCCCTGAACTACATAGCAAGACCCTGTCTCGAAATAAAACATAAAGAACTGAGGTTGTAGCTCAGTACAAAAGCCGTTGGTTCAATCCCCAGTTCTACTGAAGAGCAAACCAATCCAGGCCCTGGTTCCTTCTCCAGCTTTTCTGGGAAAAGTTCTAAGAATGAACATACACAGCTCTGGATGGGATCTGAGAGCCTGACCTCTTCCTGGGAAATTAGATTGTTTGGTTCAGTTGTTTGCAACTTTTCTTAAAGATGAGCCCATCTTTTTTTTTTTTTTTTTTGAGACAGGGTCCTGCTAGCTGCCAAGGCTGGCCTCTAACCTTTCATCCTCCTGCCTCAGCCTCCCAAGTAGCTGAGATCACAGGCTTGCACCATCACACCCAGCTGATAGTACCATTTCAATTCCTTGTTTCACAGCACCAATGATTTGTGTCAAATTCTGTGTCTGAAGTTATGCCCAGCTGAGATAGTGCTATTTTACACACCCTGCCAGTACCATCTTTGTTTTCCCAGTTTCGTTTGTTTCTGATACCAGGGTTTGAATCCAGGCAACACCAAGCCACATCCAGCACTCCTTTTTTTGTGAGACAAGATCTCACTAAATTGCCCCAGCTGTCCTCAAATTTGCATCCCCTGCCTCAGCCTCCCTAGTAGCTGGGTTCCCAGGCATGTGTTACTGCACTTGGCTCCCTCACAATAAACCTGGATATGATAAATACATTAAAGATTTTATATGAGGTCAAGTTCAGCCTGCTGCTATTCCATTTAGAGCTTCTGCATCTGTGACAGTGAGGCTGGCCTGTATTTTTCTCTAATACCCTCACTCTGTTTGGATTTCAAGTTTACACCGAGGTCACAAATTAGCTTAAGATGGTTCTTTTTTTTTTATGAAATGGAGTACTACTCAGCCATAAAGAATGATAAAACAGATATTTCTAGCTAAGTGGATGCACATTGAGGCCATACTCTTTGGTTTTGTTTGTTTGTTTGTTTGTTTGTTTGAGACAGAGTCTCACTATGTAGTTGAGACTGACCTGGCACTCACTATGTAGCCTAGGCTGGGCTCAAACTCACAGCCATCCTCCTGCCTCAGCCTCCCGAGTGCTGGGATTACAGGCGTGCGCCACCATGCCCAGCCTAAGGCTATACTCTTAAGTGAAATTAATAAGTCACAAATGTGTAAATACTGAATAGTCTCTCTGGTGTGAAAAACTAAAAGTGTAAATAAGGATCAAAATGTATAATATTGTGTAACAGGAAGAAAAGGTCTAAAAGAGTAGAGGAAGTGGAAGGCGTAGGGAAAAGGAAAGAAGGGAAAAGAAAATATGTGAAAAGGAAAGACATGGAAACAATGTCTTTGTAAACAGGGAAGGGTGGAGGGGCTGCAAGAGAAGGGCTGGGGAATGGGGAAAAAATAAGAACAAAGATACGTCATATAAAGGCACAAGACCCCAGTGATGTATACCTAAAATGTACCGATAAACTTAATGAAGATTTTTTTTTAATTTAAAAATTTTTTAAACTGTAAAAAGAGAATAGCAATGCAAAATTCTGGGAGTAGCAACCAGTTACTATTTAGAAATCTGACTTTTTCGTCATTCCACTTGTACCTCCAGTTTGATGTTCGTTTTAGATGAAGTTGACGAATACACACGTGCTTTGCCCTTTTTAACAGTCCGCCTTGTGAGTCACTTTCTCTGATTTCAGAGACATCTATTGCTGAGTACAACCTGTCATTCTCTTTCATGCATTTGACCTCAGTACCATCCTTCCTATGAACTCTCACACTGTTTTCTTCCAAAAGTTCTAAAATAAAAGACAGTCAATATTTCTCCTATACCTGATTCTTCATATATGAAACAGTAAGAAAATATAAGGGAAACTATCAGCCTCGGTGTTAGAACGTGAATAAATGGGGCCTTAAGCCAACTCAGCTGCTCTTCTCTGCAGGAAGGGGGCGCTGCTGTTCAACAACATATTTTCCATCGTGCCCGCAATCTTAATGGGGTGCAGCAAGGTTGCCAAGTCCTTCGAGCTCATCATAGTCTCCAGGCTTCTGGTGGGCATCTGTGCAGGTGGGTGACCGCACGGCCTTGGCCCTGGGAGATTCGGGCCCCTCGCGGAGCAGGGAGGGCGCCAGGTCTGGGTAAAGCCACAGCAAAGCTCACCCGGGCAGTGAAATAAACAACCGCGCTGTCAGGGAGGCGGGAAGGGAGCCTCCCACCCGCACCAAGTCTCTCCACCGACCTCCTGGGCCCCGGCTGTTTTGCACACGTCCTTGGTCAGGGTTGGGAACGCCTGCCCTCATGCTTGTAATCCCAGCCCCCCCTGTGAGGCCGAGGCCAGAGGATCACGACTTCTAGCCCAGCCTGGTGACTTAGTAAGACCCTGACGCAAAATGAAACTTTTTTTTTTGGTACCAGGGATCGAACTCAGGTCCTTGATCTTGCAAGGCAGGCAGCAGAACCACTGAGCTAAATCCCCAGCCCTAAACCAAAACTTTTTAGGAGATTTTTTTTTTTTTGTACCAGAGATCGAACTCTGGTTCTTGTGCTTGCGAGGCAGGTGGTGGAACCAGAGCCAAATCCCCGGCCCTAAAACATTTTTTAAAAGGCTGGGGTGATATAGCTCAACACCAAGGCCCTGGGTTCAAGCCTCTGCCCCCCCAATAAAGAAAAAAGAATGAAAGCAGAAAAGAAAGAGAAGGAAAAGAAAAAGAAGCAACTTTTGTAGAAGGAACTGGTAAATGACACACAGAGACCCAGAAGTGAGTAAAATTTTAAAAAAAGGTTTACTCTGCTAGCAGAGGGTCTGCCCTCACCAAAGTCCATGCCAAACAATCGACTCTGGGCTGGGTTACAACCTGCTTTTTATAGGAGTTCTACTATCATGACCTCATTTTAGGTGATAAGACATTCCATGCTCCCATCACAAAACATGGTCACAAGGGCAAAGGATTTCGACTGTGTTCCTCCCCTTACCAAAAAGTAAACAAAGAATGGTCACAAGACAGTTTCAATGTTAACTCAATTGTAGCAGTTTCTTTCAGGGTGTTTATCTATTCCAGCCCAAAAGACTGGGGTTCGGGTTTAGGAAAGCAGGACTGGTGACATTCCTTTCATCTTAACACCTTTATAGTCATATGGTTTGCAGAAGTTTTATGGCTCATTGCCTTATCTTGAACATCTGGTCTCATCCTAGATGCGGTTTAGCATCTCCGACATTTGTTGATTTTTAAACTGGGGCTACTATGTGCCTTTAAGCTTCAGTGGTGAAACCTCCGGTGTTTTGTTAAACAAGCAAAGCAAAGCAAATTACAGAAGCAAAAGGCAGTGGTTATTCCATTTTTTCTTTTTAAACATTTTGTACGTTTCAGACTATTTATAGAAGTTCTCTCTATCACAACCAACCGGGCCCGTTGCTAAGTGGTGAGGACCAACCCACACCCAGGGCCTTGGGTTCCAGGGCCGTGTGGTGCTTTGAGCCTGGAGCCGGATGTGCAGCTGCCCACAGAGTTAGCACCGGCGGCCCAGGTCTTCCCAAAGTATTAAACAGAGCTGTCCTTGGGCAGAACTGCAGAGCAGGCGGCTTCGGCCTCCCACCCATCCTGTCTCAGTATCGCCACATGTCACCAGAATGTCACCTGCTAGTAGTGTTCCAACCTCCCCTCACCCTAAACTCCGTCCCCTGCGGGGCCCCCTGGGTGTCAGAGACCTCTCTGACCCCAGCCCCAGATCTCTCTCTGAGCCTCAGCTTGATCTGGGCTCTGGGACAAGGGACCTGCCCGCCTTTTTCAAAAAAGTGTTCTCTATCTCCATTGACTTGTTTGTTTTTTGAGACAGGGTCTCACTATGCAGTTCAGACTGACTTGAACTCACTGTGTGGCCCAGGATAACCTCTGATTCACAGCAGTCTTCCTGCCTCAGCCTCCCAAGTGCTGGGATTTCAGACGTGCACCACCGTGCCTGGCCTCCACAGACCTTTTGAGGAAGTTCTGACTCAAATAAGCTGATTGCAAAGTGATTCTTTGAAGACTCGTCCCCGCCACACTGACCTTTGCTGATTGTGTCCCCCCCCAGGTGTGTCTTCCAATGTGGTCCCCATGTACTTAGGGGAACTGGCCCCCAAAAACCTGCGGGGGGCCCTGGGGGTGGTGCCCCAGCTGTTCATCACTGTTGGCATCCTGGTGGCCCAGCTCTTCGGTTTTCGGAAGGTCCTGGCAAATGACAACGGTGAGTCAGAGATGTCCAGTACCCCAGGCCTCCCCAGCCACTGCCCTGGGGCTGTCTTGTCCCTGGTGGCCTACTGCGAAACCTGTGTGACTGCTGGGCTTTCGTGGGTGGGGAGGCCCAACTCCCCTTGGGTTGCTCGGTGTCCACTCTGCAGGGACTTGAGACACAGTGGTGGCAGCCGCTTGTGTGCCCAGCTCGGGCTCAGGGCTCCCAGCCGTGCTACTGCCCGGGGCTTTGTGATGGTCCCTCCCACTCAGGCCCAAAAGGGGCTCTGAGTCAAGGCCAGGGAACCTGGGCCAGCATTGTTCTGTGCGATCTCTCCTCTCTGTCTTGTGTCAGACCTCTGAAAGGGACACCGGCCTTGGTCATCACAGCAGTCAGAGCCGCTGAGGGCCCATAACCAGCCAGGTGCCACCATCTACGGGGTCTTTCCCTCTTCCCGACACAGCTCAGGGAAGCACACGCTGCTATCTGCCCATCTTGCCCGTGCAGAGCCTGAAAGTGGGCAGCTTGTCCAAGGCCTCCTCAGGATCTAAACCCAGCAGTTGGGCCACGACCGCACCCCTAAGACCCCACCCCCCATGGGTGGGGGCCCAAAGCCTGTGGTCTGGGTTCCTGTCTCCAGGCGGAGCGCACCTTTAATCAGAGGCAGCCAGATTCAGTCCCCACGTGGTCTCAGGCCTGGTCCCCGTGAGGGACACCTGCTGCGGCCCCAGGATGAACAGAAGATGAGCAGAGGGCACAGCCCCTCGGAGAAGGGGCCCCATGGCTCTTTTCGGGTGTGGCCCTTTGCATCATGAAACATGGCTCGTGTGTGTTTCACAGTAAACACAGGAGGAGAGAAAAGCAAAATAAAGGAGCAATGCATAGAAAGAGAACCCCAATCCTGTGTGAGCGCTTGGGGTCCAGGAAGAGCCCCCCGCCGCGTTTCCATCTCAGCTGTCATGGCAGCTGGCGCAGGCTTCTCTTCCTGTGTGCTTGGGGTAGGACGGCGGCCAGTCATGGTGTGCCCGGCTGCTGGCCCTTGCCAGCTGTCCTTCCAGGGCCCTGGGTGACAGGTGGGGACCTCCCTGTGTCCACGTCTTCCTGGGCTTTTCTTCCGTCTCAGGTGTCCCTGCTATGTCACCCCTCGGCTAAATGCCTGCTGAGCGCAGTCTGCCTCGCAGAGCCTGGGTCCCCTGTGACCTCCCGTCCCCCGCTTGCAGGCTGGCCCATCCTTCTGGGGCTGACCGGGGTCCCCGCAGCACTGCAGCTGCTCCTGCTGCCCTTCTTCCCCGAGAGCCCGCGGTACCTGCTGATCCAGAAGAGGGACGAAGACGCTGCCGGAAAGGGTAGGCAGGCGGGCCGGCCGGTGGGAGGTGGAGGCCGGGTCCCAACCCCGCCCGGCTGACGCCCTGGCTCACTGGCGCCCCCAGCCCTGCGGAGGCTGCGCGGCTGGGACAACGTGGCCGAGGAAGTGGAGGAGATCCGGCAGGAGGACGAGGCGGAGAAGGCGGCGGGCTCCATCTCCGTGTGGAAGCTGTTCCACCTGCGCTCCCTGCGCTGGCAGCTCATCTCCATCGTGATCCTCATGGCCGGGCAGCAGCTGTCGGGCGTGAACGCGGTAAGGGCCGCCCGCGGCCGGAGCAGGGACAGTCCCTCCGACCCAGCGCCCCGCCAACCCCGGTGTTGCCTTCTAGATCTACTACTACGCAGACCAGATCTACCTGAGCGCCGGGGTCAGGGCCGACGACGTCCAGTACGTGACGGCCGGCACGGGCGCCGTCAACGTGTTCATGACCATCTGCACGGTGCGTGTCCGCCGAGGCACCGTGGGCAGCACCTCCCCGCCGGGGCTGCGGAGGATGGGAATGGAGGGGCCCTGCCTAGGCGTGGTCCCGGTGCGGCCCGGTAAGGCCGGTGGGGCCGCCCCTCATTGTGGGCAGAATCTCCCCAGAGCACCCCGATACCCGTGTGTCCGCGGGAATCCTACGGGTTAGGGCCACGGCGTTAGGAGCGTGCTCTCGTTCAGCGGCGGGCAGCTGCAGCTCTGGAACGCTGTGCTTTTTGAGTGTGCAATGCGTGTGCACTTGCGTGCAGGTAGGTGGGCAGGCACTAGCTCCTCCCCTCCGCCCTCCTCCTGCAGGTGTTCGTGGTGGAGCTCTGGGGACGGCGCCTGCTGCTGCTGCTCGGCTTCTCCACCTGCCTCGCGGCCTGTGTGGTGCTCACGGTGGCCCTGGCACTGCAGGTGAGGAGTGAAGGAGCTGGGTGGGCCCCACCTGCGAGGGGACCTGGGCCACCCCCGCTGTATGGAAAGGACAGGGCACAGAAACGAATCTGCTTTAGCAAACACTGGCCCAGCGGATGTCGAGATCCTGCACGTCCCCTGCAGCCCAGCAGCCCTCAGCCGTTTCTCGGCTGACTCGCCACGCAGGGCTTGTGGAGGGGACACCACTGACTAAGGACCAGGTGCCAGGCCCTGCTCCCCGCCCAGCAGCTGGCCCTTTGGGGACCAAGGCTCCTGAGGTCCCACCCCTTCGGTCTTGTCTTTTTGAGATAGTCTTGCCATATATATAATATATACATGTAGTTCAGGCTGGCCTCAAGCTCATGGTGATCCTCCTGCCTCAGCCTCCCTCCCTCCCCCACAGGACCAGCTGTCCTGGATGCCCTACGTCAGCATTGCCTGCGTCATCATCTACGTCATAGGACACGCCGTCGGGCCCAGTGCGTGACCGCGAGCTGGCTCTGGGCTTTCCAAGGCCCCCCTCGGCCCTGGGGAGGGAACATTCATCCTTGCAACGCCTTCTCCCTTCTCCCCGCTGCACCAGGGCGAGGCGGAGAATAGTTAGAGAAATCTGCCACGCAGACGGGCAGGGTGTGCTGGACATCCCCGAACGCGCCGTTGTCCCTTTGCCAGCCCCCATGTCCCCACCCCTGTGCCAGGTCCAGAGCCTGAGGATCCGGCCTGGCCGCCCTCAGGGAGGTCACCGGCCTCCTCTGCTCCCCGCCCAGGTCCCATCCCAGCGCTGCTGATCACCGAGATCTTCCTGCAGTCCTCGCGGCCGGCCGCCTTCATGGTCGGGGGCAGTGTTCACTGGCTGTCCAACTTCATCATCGGCCTCATCTTCCCCTTCATCCAGGTGAGCGGGGCTGGGGGCCCAGCTCTGTCCCGCAGCCGCTGGGCCACACCACACGGCCTTGCTCACCAAATTCCCCCACCCCCAGGAGGGCCTGGGCCCCTACAGCTTCATCATTTTCGCGGTGATCTGCCTCCTCACCACCATCTACATCTTCCTGATCATCCCGGAGACCAAGAAGAAGACCTTCATCGAGATCAACCAGACCTTCGCCAGAATGAACAAGGTGTCCCAGGTCCACGCCGAGAAGGAAGAGCTGGCCGACCTCCCGCCGGCCGCCTCGCAGCAGTGACAGGGCCCAGGAGGAGCCTGGCTTCTGGTCGGTCCACACTCCTGGGATTCGCTTCCTGGCATCCAGTTGTCCAGACTGGGGCGGAATTCAGCCCTGCCCATGGGACCTGTGTGAGGGGCTGCTGCACTGTCCTCAGTGCCACTGTTCCCTGCAGGGTGGCCAGGGACAGTCACTTGTCACCGCGGGACACCACAGTGCGGCGGCTGGACACAGCTTTTCCCACCCAGGCAGCTAGCGCGGGCCAGAAGGGGAGGAATTGAATTTCACGGATGAAACAGCCCTTCTCAGTCTGAATTCATGCTTTGATCCGACCCCATTCCGGAAATGCCTTCCCCGGGAAAGTGGGGTGTCAGGAACATGGCACAGAGAAAGCTGGGGACCAGTCCCTGGGGAGACAGTGACTGGGTCGGAATCCCTACTCCTAAAGGCACCTGGAAATGGAGCTGTCTGTGCAGTTAATAAACGGACCTGACCCTTGGGCTGAGATGAACGCTGGCTGTGTGAGCCCTCAGGGCAGGAGGGGGAGCCCTGCTCCTACACAAGCAGGGAAGTCGCCCCTAGAGGAAGGCAAGGGGGGCGCACAGCAGGCTGCAAGGCTGGGAGTTGTTACCTGGTACGAGGTCCACATCAAGCGGCGGTGGGCTGAGGGTGAGGAGGAGGAGAAGCCTCCTAGCCCAATACGGCAGAACAGAGGCTAGCGACCGAGGGAAGGGGCGTGCAAAGAGAGGACATGCACAGCCGGTGTGGTGTCAGCCTACCTGTGACGCCAGCTCTCGGAGGCTGAGGCGGGAGGATCACAAGTTTGAGGCCAGCTTGGGCTCCACAGTGAGTTCAAAGCCAGTCTGAACCTCACAGCAAGACCCTGTCTCAAAAACAAATCTTGAACACAGACCCACAAATATAGCACACTGAGAGACCACTACCCACACACGCCAGGGTGAAGAGATAGCTGGAAGCCGAGGAGTGGATGTTCCATTTCTGGGGGACCCCACATAAGGTGGTGAGAAAGTGGAGCTAGGAAGTTGGGGGGCTGTACCAGATTCCCGGGAGGCAAGTTCTGCCTGAACTTGGTCATGAAGATAATTAATCCTCAGGCCTGGCAGCCAGGGAGGAGGGGAGGGACTTGGAAAGGGAGATCAATTAGAAGAAACACTGGGGGCATCTGGCATGGTGGCGCACACCTATAATCCCAGCACTTGGGAGGCTGAGGCAGGAGGATCGCTGAGTTTGAGACCAGCCTGGGCTAATTAGTGAGTTCCAGGTCAGTCTTGACTACATAGTGAGACCCTGTCTCAAAAAAAAAAAAAAAAA